AAAAGGATCTCAGGCCTCAAAGCTGAGACTGAATGCCTAATGGGCACTCTCCTTTTTCTTGCATTGCATGGTGAGATGCAATGATCATGCCAGGGAAGCAGCTGGTAAGGTTTTGCCTGTGAGTTAAGTTTCCGGAACAAATAATTCCATCCTCTTTTAAATATATGAGCAATACTGGTGGCAAGGGGGACGTATTTTCCTGCAGAGCAGGGGATGACTGCGTGAGGCTCGTTAGCGGTCAGTGGGGTTACTGCCCTTTGGCACCGTGGCAGTGACACCTCCATACGGAGAAGGAAGCCTTCACCCCTCTGGCACGTGTTACGTTTTCAGCCCTGAGGTGGTCTCTGGAGCCATGTTTCTCAGATTTATTTTTCAGCTTCTCTCCACTTTATTCCTTTGAGGTCCATGGGAGTCTTTGTGCCCCTGTAGTTCAGTGTCCTCTGGATTTATTTGGAGTCAAAGCAATCACCATCCATGTCTGCTGTGACACTTGCGACAGGCGGGTCAGGTTTCCTACTGTGACTGAGCGCAGATGAGCTCCTCACTTTAAGATGTTGGGTGTGATTCTTATCCCCCCCCCCCTTACCTCTTTACTTACTGTCTGTTAAATATGCTGTGCAAGGAAGAGATATGTTTGTGGATAAAGGTCATTAACCTTCTATTTTCTTATAATATGTGACTCTAATGGAATTTACTGTGGATGGCATGGTGTATCATTCTTGTGTAACTCTTTATTCCAGCGTAAAGCCATTTGTTCAGCCCAGGCCTATCCTATACAGCCATCAGTCACAGCTCCCATTTCAGGTAATTCTTCCATTTATACTCTCCTTTAAAAAGACTTGAATTGTGTACTGAATGTGACGTGTTAATTCCTGAGATGGACAGAGCCAGTACTCCATATCTACTGTTACCTTTAGCCAAACCAAACACCAGTCCCAACATCCTATTATGTCATTATATATGAGGGAAAATCATTGGGTTTGGGTGGGGTTTTTTGTTTTGTTTTGTTTTTACATTTTAGGTAGGAAGCACTAATACATATGCAAGGACTTGTGATATGTGATCTCCAGTCAGCATTCCATATTGTAGGAAAACGCTTTGTAAAAATTGAGTAATAGGATGCATGTTTCTTTTTTAATAGCTAAATCTCACGTCTGTCTGTAAAGAGAATAAGCCTTAATTTATTTAAAACTGAGGCTAAAAACTCTTCCAAAACTATATATGTTTAGCCAAAAGTATAAAACATCTCTGTGTGTCTGGTTGTTGATAACCCTTCTCCTTCTGAAGGTCCTGCTCTGCCTGATACCACTTTGATAAGTACCTAATGTTTGTTCTGATTTCCATTGCTCAAGTTGATCAAGCCCTTCCCATGGCTGCTTCCCTGTTCCTTTTCCCAAGTTGGTTTCATGGCTAATTTCAGGAAAGATCATTATTTCTTTCCAGATGATAACTAATTTTACATCTCCCTTGCCAAATAACTCCATGCTTCTGACTCTATTTGAACTGCAGTTTTCTGACTCGTACTCAGTTTTTTATGATTGTCCTTATTTTGACTGGGATAGAGTTAGTTTTCTTCTTAGTAGCTAGAATAGCGCTGTGGTTTGGATTTAGTAGGAGAAGAATGATGATAACCTACTGATGTTTATAGTTGTTGCTAAGACATCAAGGACTTTTTCAACTTTCCATGTTTTGCTAGTGTGCAGGTGCACAACAAGCTGGGAGGGAGCAGAGCTGGAGCAAAGGACCCACAACTCCTGGATTAGGATTTGAGTTTAGGTTTAGGATTGAGGCCCAAATTGGCCAATGGAATATTCCATATCATGCAATGTCATGCTCAGTATATAGATGAGGGTTGGCCAGGTAGCTCTTTCTTCGAGGCTCGCTCTCTTCTGGGATTGCGGTTTTGGGAACTCTCTTCTTCGGGATTGCTAGCCGGGGCTGGGCCAGTCATTGGTCAGTGAGTGGTGAGCAATTGCACTGTGCATCACTCATTTGTATATGTTATTATAATTTTTATTATTGTTTTTATAATTAATACTTTTAATTTTAATTTATTTCAATTATTAAATTGTTCTTATCTCAAGCCACGAGTCTCCCTTCCTGTTCCCCCTTAATTCTCTCCATTTCCCAGGGGCAGGGGAGGGTGAGCCAGCAGCTGTGTGGAGTTTGGTTTCCAGCCGAGTTAAACGACAACAGTGATTTTCTAACTTTCTGCTATTTAATGCTTAAAACTAAGGCTATCTTTCTGCATCCCTGATTATTTCCTTTTTCTTGATATTCCTAATTTAGAACATTGTTTTCTAAGGCAGACATTTTGAATCATCTTCTTTTATTCTTCCATGTTTTCTTTCAGAATAGGATTATTAGTATTTCTAAATCAGTCAAAACTCATGCATGAGTTTTTGCTTCATTAGAATGTTCATGTCTAACCAGTTGTGTTTGTAATTCTCTCTTTCATACAAGCCTCACACCTTCATTGCCTAAATTTGAGGGTTGGAGTCAGGTACCATACTCCCATTACAGGATGTGGAAACATGCTACGTGTGACCCCTCCCTGGTGCTCAACCTAGTTCAGGATTATCTTTGTTTCCTAACCTTTGGTGCCTCTCCTCTGCCTTCCTTGTGCCTGCGTCTCTCCCAAGATCAGTTTTTGCCTTTGAGCTGCTGCCCTTCCCTTCTTCCTTTACTGTTTTGTTTCTTTTTCATCTAATTTTCCACAATGAGGAGCAAGAGAGAGCATTTATTCTTTCTCTTGCGGTGAATCAGAGATGGTGGTTAACATCCTTTCTCTCTCTAGACCATGTCATTCCCTCTTTATTATCAATTTTAAAACTTCTTTTTCTTTTTAAGGTGTGATTCAGCTCTCTACAGTAATTATTTATTATTATCTGTAATATAATGCTGCCTAAAAGCTCCAAAAGAAGTTAAAGACCCCATGTGCAAATACATAGTAAGAGACAGTCCCTGCTTTGGAAACCTTACACTCTAAATAGGAGAGGGGAATTGAGAGTGGCAGAAGAAATAGGCAAAAAGAGAGGTGATTTACTTGTAACGTGGCACTTTAGGAGCCAGAAATGGAGGCCAGTTCTCTTGACTCCCAAGGCAGTAATATCTCCCGTGAGTCTTGCTGCCAGTTTCTGAGGAAGGGTCAGCTGTAGGTCTATGTGAAGACTCTATAAATCTCTATAACCTAGTATATAATTTAAACAAAAATTCTACAGTGAGTTACAGCCCCAAGGAAACAAAGAAATAGATCTTTTATTTGCACCTTTATTAGCTTGCTGGATTGGGACCTCTTTTTCTACATTTTTTAATGTGTTTTCCCAATTTCAACTCGTTCTGAATTTGTTATTTGCTAAAATTAATATAAACATCCAATGGCTACATGCATAATTCCTGATTATATTTAATTCAGAAAATATAAACTGAGGAATTGTCAACTTCATGCAAATGTTTCCTTTATTTTAGGATTTGAGCCTACGTCAGCTCCAGCTCCCTCGGTCCCTGCATGGCAGGGCCGATCGATTGGTACGACCAAGCTCAGGCTGGTGGAGTTTTCAGCTTTCCTTGAACAGCAGAGGGATCCCGAATCAGTAAGTGTTGCCCTCGTGTCTGCCAATCTTCAGCTTTTCTCCATTGCTGCCCACCCTCTGAGGTTGCTTTCCAGTGTTAAGCCTTATGGAATATGTCTGGTGTTTCTGCTGAGTGTAATATTCCTTCCACCACAGAACTGTTTTCCTTTCTTGCCCTCTTTTTTGCCACTTGCAGAAGTGAGAGGCCTCTCTGAAAGCAGGCGTGGTTTGCGATGGCGCCTGTCTCACTGTTGACCTAGTTTAGCAGTTGTACCAAATTGCATCGTGTTTTTGGCAATAATTCAGTACTTAAACTTCCAGTTAAAGCCTAATCTGTTTCCTAACAGAAAGAGAATTAAGGACTTGAATAGAAACTATGCTTACGATTTTAATTAGCTGACATTTGGGATAGCCTCCGAGTATCAAGATTGTCCCTTTTGGTTCCATTCTCCCAGGCATGTACCATTTAACTGTATAACTTTTTTTTTTTTTTAATTAAGGTTACCTATTTAAATGTTCAATTATTCAGTCTTCCTTCCTTGATCTTTAGTTGTGTCTTAGGGTCCAATCCAAGGTTTGGATTTTATTTTTATCCTTATTTAGAAAGTTTTTGTTATGGTTTGGATTTTTAGTCTGCATGCTATACCTGCAAGGGTAGTTTATGAAGTTGGCTGTAATGTTTCGTTTAGTCCAGTGAGCCTTGAGCCTTGATATTAATCATTATATGTTTACCAAGAACATTTGCTAGTAGCCTAGCACTGTTTCTGCTGCATCACAAATAAATCAAAAGAGCTTCTTTCAGCTTGAACTTGAGAATTTTTACTGAGATAATTTCTGAAAAGCAAATACTGTCATGAATGGGTGATATAGATGGGCCATTCTTGTTCAGATTCCTGGTAAAATACAGTAGCTGTCACTTGCTCTTTATAATCCAGCACTGGAAACCATAGCATTCACAGTCTTTGGCCAGGGTTGTTATCCGGGGAGTGTTTACCCTGCATAATGGAGATGGGAGATGTAGCCCAGAAATCTTACAACAGAGGAATGCTCCTGGCGGAGAAACATCCCAGTGAAAACACACCATATCTCAGCTATTCATGTACTAAATACGTGGCAGTGTGTTGGTTTGCTAAATGTCACGTTTTGCCAGGTTGAATTAACTTTGAGAGATGAAATGTTTGGCAGCAGGTATTGTTATCTCAGCTCTTACCTGACTGTTAGATACTGCATGGTTTCCCTAGAATCCCTTTGCCTTCCCATGGCCCTGATTCCCACGCTTTCGCAGCAATCCTGGCTCTGGCAGGCTAAAGCTTCATCTTAGTGTTCTCCAGACTAATCCACAGCTGGAACACCTTCTGCATCCCCAGCCCTGAGTTCATCCAGATGGCAGTTTGTATTTCTAATGCAGAAACACAACCTACAGGTTTTCTCATCAGGCGGCCTTATCGATACACAGCTTTTGGAGTCCTTGGCTCGCTGACACCCTGTAACGTGTCCTGCTGATTTATGGGCTCTGCCGTATCCAGATTGCTGCACACCAGGATGCGTGTGTGTGCCTCGAGGTTATCGGGAAAACAGGATATGGCCATGTAACACTCAGCATTACTGTGCTGAATATGAATGAGATAGTATTTTGGTATATTTTGATTTATTGTTTTGTTAGTATACCACCTAATTATCCTTTTTCTATAGATTTTTGTAACGCAAAACTATTTGCAAAACCCGTGGGCTTATATGGTGTAGAGCCTCTGCATATCTCCACGGCTTTATGTAAAAGAGAGTGAACAAGAGTTCAGCAACTAACTAACTTCTATGTCTTTCCCTCTAAGAAAAATCTCCCTCAAACCAAGTATGCTCTTAACAGATAACATGTGGTTGCCCATCACACCGCTGGTGTCTGCAACATGAAACCAGCTGAGTGACATGAATATATTTGCAACATGACTGACAGACTGAAAATGAGGAGAAGATGCTGCTTTGGAATTGGAAGGAGCCGTGGGTCTCACTCTGCTGTGGCGACACTGCTCAGAGCTGCTTGTGCTCATGTGTGGTGTGTGGGCCATCAGCTTGGGGACATGTTGGGGCTCTCATTTTTCAGGCAGGTGCAGGCTCTGGGGAATGCCACACATCCACTCGCGTTGCAGAAAAAGAGTGGACACCTGAATAGAAACACGGTTACCCAGGATGGCCCCATAAATGCTGTAAAGCCTTTTTTAGGGTAAACTAATATTATTTAGAATTCCTGAGGGAGCAGCGAGGCCCACCAGAGCTTGTCTCAGCTTGCAAGTGTGCTACTGAGAAACCTACCTTTTATGCAGGAGGTTTTCTAGAGAAGAAAGAGCATCAAACTACCCAGACTTGTTTTTAAAAAACGTTACCCATGTGCTGTAACATTGAAAAATGAGACACGAAGAGAAGTCAGTTCCCAGTCATGCATTAAGCCCAATTTAGACCATTCTTTACACCCACGCTGTAACCACCGTGGGGGCAAGGCTGTGCAAGGGCTGCGTGGGGACCATGGGGAGCTGAGGGATGAGCCCCCATGGGCAGCATGTCACCACCACTGACTGGGAAAGGGGAGTCAGGAGAAGGGGAAGTGTTGTTTAGATCAAATTAAGTAAATCTGATTATTTAGGTCTTAAGCAAGGGTGTAGAAAAAAACCTCAAGACAGTGTGACCAGTTCGCAGGGCAAACGCAGAAGGACATGTGCTGGAGAGGCACTGAGCAGAGGCACTGGTGCACGCCTGTCTGCAGGGACAGCTCTGAGGGGCCCTGCCTCCTGCCAGCCTTCCAGTCTCCAACGCACAGACTTTTCCAGCGAGCACCAAAAGTCCTCCTTGGAGCTGAGAGCCAACCCCCAGCCTCATTTAGAGCTGTTGAAGAAAACACGAATTCTCCCTGTTTCTTTGTGTTGGTGCGACATTTTATTGCAGATACGGTTCGCGCAGCATAGAAATGGTGGGGTTTTATTACTTTTTAAATAACAAAATCAGCAAGGCAGCAGCAAGATGTGTGTTTTGCACAGTGTGCATATGAAGTCATGTAAGCATGTGCTGTGGTTGCCTTTGTGCCTTCGCTGACCTCAGAAATGAGTATATCTATACGCTGCTACGTGAGAGCCAGTAAGAGTTCTCATGTATCTTCTGAAAAAAGATAGTTATATGTTCACTACACTTCTGACTATTTGCAGAAAATGACATAATTATTTTGATGAAACGTGTTTCCAACATTTTATTTAAAAAAAGATGGCCCTTCCTCCCTCTCTCCCCTAACCCAAAACCAGGTCAGAAAGCCTCATAGTAGTGGGGGCAAATAGACCAATTCCACCTTAAAATGTAACCTGGAAGTTTATTGAAAAAGGCTTATTTGACATGGCACCTGGGGCCAGGACTCAATGATCCTGGGAGGCCCCTTGCAGCCTATATTCCTGTACAGCAATTAGAAATTTAGATCTGTCTGCCCATGGTGACTCCCAGCGACTTCAATGGGGCTGTATATGAGCACAAAGGTCCACCCACAGGGAATTCGTTGTAGGAGTGGGGCCTTAAGCATTTCTGGGGTTCTTCCAACGGCATTTGGTGTTTAAAAGTACAAAAGCCCCTCAATGTCAGGCAGTTATGTTAATTTAGAGTGAGCATTCTGTTGTGTCCTAGAGTCCTGTCACTTGCGAAGGGCTGTTGACTTTTTTCCCTTGCCTAGGCACAAAATTGTTCCATTTACAAAAGAAAAATTTATAGAAAGGAAACAATAAGCAACTCTCACTGTAACTGCATGGCAGAAGATGGTCTGGGAGACATAAGATAGCACAGTTCCAAATCTTGGAATACTGACTCTGCAGTTAAGGATGGGTAAAATTACTCCTCCTTATACATGAAGATCAATTCGGTTTAGAAACATCAAGCTGTGTTTTCCTTTTGTGGCATTTTGTGCTCAAGTACAATTCCTAAACGGTTCATGGAAACTGCCCTTGTAGGTCCCAGCACCAGCATTTTAGTTGTCTTTTATTATTGCCTACGCTGTATAACTGTATTCTAAATAGATTAACAAGTTTGTGTATCCATCTGTTGCTTTCAAGACAGATTTTCCTCAATGGGGGCTTTCCATTTTTGCTGTAGTGGTTCTGTGAAAGTTTAGGACAAACACTTAAACCAGGTAATCCCATGGTCCCTAACAAAAGCAAACTGAGTATGCAAGCAGATTAGAAGGGATCTAAGCAGTTGACTGTTACACAAGTAGCTATAAAATTCAAAGGCTGTAACACTGAAATGATAATTAATTTCAATTTTATTTATTTCCAAGCTTGCTTTCCAATCAGGGAAAAAACCCTGCCACCACCCAACAAAAAAAGCCTTTTCTTCTCTTCCTCTTCAAGGTTTCTCACTCTTGCTGCCACATTCATTTTGACTGTGAGCACTTCAGACAACTTTCCGTCTAAAATATCTATATAGAGCTATAAAGAATATGACTGATGGGCATTTTCAGTATTAATCCACCTATCCAAACTGTCAGATTGTGTTAGGTTCAAATTTCAAAATGTATTTTAAAAAGTGGTGAAGAAATAAAATATTCCTTATGTTTTAATTCAAGTTTTATGGTTGTTGTAAAAGGGCTTTGTGAGCCCAGGGAGAATTGTGCCTGAGTACCAGAAAGTGAAAGCAATTGCTCAAAGGCCATAAAACCAGCCTGCCATCATTAGCCAAATGCAGTAAAATTCACCAAAGTTAATCAAACCACCTAAATGTTGAAAAATAAATGAGATCTTTTCAAAAGAAGCCCTCCATCTTTGTACAATATCCATTGTTACAAGCATTGTTTATCCTTTCTGTATTCCCTGTGAACAGTGTAAAAAGCAGTTCAGCATTTCAGTCAAAAGGAGGTCCTTGGTTTAGTGTCTTGTCATGTGAAAGGACAAGGAAGCAAACCCACATTTGGATGAATGTCTTAAGAGTGGCAGACTCAGGATTTGAGGTTATTTTAATCTAAAATCAGACAAAGTTTAAATAAATGCAAGGGTCATTTA